ACCGAGAGAGTAAGCTAGGTGAGTTTGGATTGGCATTACCTTTTCGTTAGTAGCGTAACTTAAGATGTCATTTACCATGTCTAAAGAGATGAGATAAGGTGGAATTTTGACAGTGGCCAGAGAATTAACAGTCAAGCTGATATCCCTAAGCATGTCAGAAAAAAATCACATCCATCAAGTGTAAGACAGCATATTTCAATTCTACCATAAGTTTTAATTGGTCAACCATTCGTGCAAGAGTTTTGATTTCTTGGCTGTGGGTGTTCAACACTAACACAGTATCTCTCACCATTTTAGTCACCTGAGTGAGTTGTGCTTGTTGGTGATCCATCTGTGCTTGGATCTTGGGAATCTCATACTGTAACTCATTAACATGTTGTTTTAAGGAGACTATGCTGACGGTGTTAATTGCGGACAAGCCCAAGCTAAAGAGAGAGCCGAGGGAGGAGGCAGCGAGCAGAACGCCAAGTGAGCGCTTCTGTCTCTTGTCTGTTCCCCTCAACTCATCTTGGGTAATTGTGAATTTGTGTAACTGCTTTAGTATGTGCCTGACTTCGCCTTCTGCCTTATGGATTGGTATGTTGTACCATGCTTGGTTAACCCACGAGTTCTCCACTTTAATGTGTGTTTGATCACGGTGTGAGGGTCGAAGCAAACAAAACCTTTTTGGGTGTATAGGCGGCAATTTGTGATGAGCAGCCCCGGTTGTTCTCTAAGTACAATGCCTGAGGTGGGACCAAGGGTCACGATCTCTGACTGTACTCCTTGGATGAATCCCAAGAGTATGAGGGTCAGTAGCAGTTTCATCAAGATCCTAAGGAAACACAAAGAAAATTTGTTCGTAGTACTCTCTAGTGGTCAAGATAAATCCTATGGATTTAAATTGTTAGTAAAGTCTTTATTTGTTTATTGGGTTTTTGAACTTAGTATTTCTAAGATTTAGTAGATGTATTTCTTTGAACACATATTTATTTCAGACTTATTTTATTTTGTATTAATACCCCCCGTGTGGAAGACCTGTTTTATCCCATGAGGTCTGAGAGTTTGATNATTCTAAGAATAAAGCTGCTGCTGCTTTTTAAACTCACTGCTTGTGGTGAAGCTTCAACATGATGCTGACGTCTGAACTGCAGCAGGTTTTAACTTTGGACACATTTTTTTGTGCTAAAATAATCTTCCTCTGTCTCTTTTTACCGCTCAGACCTGAACACACAAAACACATTTGTTTCACAGTCTTTGGGAGAGCCATCAACCATCATTTCTCTAGCTTAACCCTGACCTTTACCTTAAACCTAACCACCCCAGTACAGAAGAGACACTGACTCTCAAACCATTTAAACAAAATGCATCAGACTTCTGTGCCTCAAAGCAGCAGAGGGTCCTGACAAGTTGATATGTGTGATGGAAGAATGGTCCCTTTCGCAACAAAAAGGGGGTTGGTGGCACAGAGGGTAGAGAAGCTGAGTCTGTGATCGGAAAGTCGCCGGGTCGACTCCCCGCAGACCAACCAGCCCCACCTTGGGCCCCTGAGCAAGGCCCTCAACCCCCCCAGCTGCTCCCCGGGCACTGTAATTGGCAGCCCACTGCTCCACATATGTGCTTAAATGTGCGATGGGTAAAATGCAGAGACTTAATTTCCCAACCAGGGGATAAATATAGTGTATATATATTTAAAAAAAAACAAGTAAGCATACACTCTTGAAAAAAACATGTGTTTGTTTGTCTTATTAGTAATGAACATATTTAGTATTTTCAGAAGTATTAGCAGCAGGAACCAATACGAAGTCAAAATAATCATAATACATCATCAGTCCTCCAACCTTTGATGTCCCCAACACGTTTGGTCCAATTTTTTTAATAATTTGTTTTACCTTAATCTTCAGTGAAACACTGTGGTGTATAAAATAAAGCACTTTTTTTCATGGAGCAGATTTAACAGTGCTCTGATTGGTTTGCATGGTTCCCCAATCTTTTGTTTTGTCTTTCTGACTAACGTCTGAAACATTAACAATCTCAGGATCAACTGAAGGTCTTTATGGATCAACTGACATCAGTTTTAAAATCTGCTCCTTCATTTCTCTGGAAATCTATTCAGAAGTCTCTGTGTGTTTGAAGTTGCACAAGAAACAAAAAACTGTTGCAATTTAAGTGAAAAAGTCAAACACAAATCTGTCATGCAAGATGTCTTAACATTTTCTCAGGAAAAGATCAAAGACTTGGAGCTTCTACCTATTAACATGAAGATAAAAATTGGTACACTAGTAGCTGAGGGCCAGCTCTATCACAAATAGTAGCCAAAAGAAAAATTCCAAAGTGGCTGATCTAATTCCAAGATCTAATTTCAGTTTTAGCCTGTTTTGAGGGGTTTCCAACCAATCGGTTTTAGGTTGTTGTTCTTTTTGTGGGTTTTAGCCTATCTTGAGGTGTTTTTGGCCATGCTACTTAACTTTTACATTGCTTTAGGTAGTTTTGAGGGGTTTCCTGCACTCCTAGGACCCTTTTACATGTTTTGCATGGATTTTGGCAGTTTTGAGTGGTTTCCAACCAAACTGTTATGTATTTTTGGGCTTTAGCCTGTTTTGAGGGGGTTTTGGCCCTCCTGCATACCTTTTGCATGGTTTTTGGTCTTTCTTGTTGCTTTTGTGTAGGTTTCGGCCCTCTTAGGCCCTTTTTACTTGGATTTTGTTGGTTTGATTTTTTAATTTAAGTGTTCTACTTCCTCAAGGGGGCATGTGTCTTGTAAGGATTTTGGAATGTTGGGCATTTTAGAAATGAAAAATTGGGGTAATGCCAGCTCTCCCACGGTCGCCACAAGTCTGTAGCAGCCCTCAGCTGCGAGGGCCAAACAATGCTTGCACAAATGCACTATCATACCAAATCCCAAAATTAGTTTGAAATAAGTCATTTTTTAATCTATAAAGATAAACTTTGGTTAAGCTGTAGCTGAAATCTTAAAGACATTCTAAAAGCATCTATAAGAAAGCCACCAGAACTAAAAATCAGCCATTACAGGAAGACTTGCACATCTGGCAAGCACCTCATAGTTTCTCGAGGATATATTCTAGTTGTAACTAATGCTCAGTTATTGAACTTAAATGAGACAGCATACAGGGAACAACCTGGCGCTAAGCATAAAGAAAACAAAGAGATCATTGTTGACTTTAGAAAGCACATCACTGAGCTGACACCTCTCCACATGAATAGTGAATGTGTAGAGAGGTTCCACAGTGCTGACCTCTTCTGGACAGACAACGCCACAGCACTCATCAAGAAGGTACAGCAGCAGCTCCACTTTCTGAGAGTCCTCAAGAGGCGTTTGTCCACAGGCTCGGTTCTCATCGGCTCCACCCCACTCCACACCAATTTTTGCCATTTTCATTGTCGGCACCCACCCTCTTTTGGCCTGATGTGAACCTCCTAAGAGGTACAAACTGAACACCAATCTGCTGCTAACCTTCTACCACTCATCCATTGAGTCCCTGCTAACACACTGTATCACAGTCTGGTATGGCAGAGAGACTCCAGAGAGTAGTAAAGACTGCACAGAGGATCATTGGATGTCCCCTCTCTTCCCTGATAGATATTTCCCTGCCCCCAGTAGTGTCTGGAAACATTTAAAGGAAGAAACCATATGTTTTTACCCACCAGCTGAACAACAACAAGTTGTTTCAACAAATGGTTAAAAAATGTGCACATCCTGTGGCAATATCAGTGTTTACAGCATAATTGACATCACGTAATAGTACATATTTCTTTTTTTTAATTCAATTCAATTCAAAAATACTTTATTGATCCCAGAGGGAAATTAGGTGTTGTTGTAACTCATTTAACTAAAGAATTATTGTAGATGCTGATGGCTGTGGGTAGGAAAGATCTTCTGTAGCGGTCTGTATTACAGCGAAGTTGAAGAAGCCTCCAACTGAAGACACTTTGTCTTTCTATGACAGTCTGATGAAGAGGATGGTCAGGGTTGTCCACAATGTTCTTGATTTTATGTAAAATCCTTCTTTGCACCATCATCTCCAGAGATTCCACAGTTGTCCCCAGAACAGAACCATCTTTCTCCATCAGGTTATTTAGCCTTTTTAGGTCCCTGGCTCTGATGCTGCTGCCCCAACAGATGATGGCAGAGGAGATGATGCTCTCAACAACAGATTAAAAAAAGATCTGCAGACACTGAAGGATCTCAGCTTCCTCAAGAACTACAATCTGCTCTGTCCTTTATGTTTACATGCGCAAAATTCTTTGATCAGATTGAAATGTATTCAGATTAAACAATCAGAATGTATCGTTTACATGGGCACAATC